AACCGTGAGCAAAACCCCCTCCCTTGCTGGCAATCACAGAGGTGCCCATTCAGGCCACAACAAGGGAGTGTTTTTCCTCTGGAAATGTGCACACGGCTGCCTGCTCTTGGCCGCGCCCACAGAGAGAGGCTCTCCCGGCGGGTCTCCTGCGGCATAATCTGGCATTGTGCTCGAGAGCCTCGAGGAGGCTGAACCACCGTGACCCAGACATTCCATCGCCAGGATTTGTTCTGAAGGGAAATAATCCCACATACAGAGTCTCCCGTCCCACACATTCACATCAACATTGTCCCAACAAGAGGAAAAGGAGCCACCACCATACGGACCACGAGGGATAAAGGAGGCGTCGTGAGATAAAACTGCACATCTCTGCACATACACATCCCATACTCCATGCGTCACCACTGAAAGGACCGTCATGCCATGACATACGTGCGGTAGCGTGCGGGGGGCAGGCGCCTAAAGGGAAACCACTGTGCCCCAGGGGCTCAACTATTTAAAAGAAAGAAAAGGAAAAAAACAGAAATGCACAGAGAATAGAAGAAAATAGACCTCAATATTAACAATGAGTGTATCAGGAAGCTGGTCTGTATGTTCTTTCTGTTCTTCTCGACAGCCTAGAACATACTCACTTTACAGTCGGAAAGTCAATCTATCTGTGCATAGTAGGTCTTGCATGAGGGCACTACAGGAGGATGGCTGTAGCGAGGAGGATGGCTGTGGGCAAGAAGGGATGGACGCAAAAGACTCTTGACTTTGCCAATGATGTGATGAGACAGCAGGCGAGACAGAGGAAGGCTGGTCCCGTAGATCCGGACACACCGCATCCCCGGGGCCTTTGCTGCCCCGTCCCTGTCTCTCCCTGGGCGCTCTCACACACCCTGTGGCATGAAACCCCAGTGCTAAGACGATGGCTCCCGAGCCCGTCATGTTCTCTCAAGCTCCAGAGTAACAGTACAAGCTCCAGCTTTGCTGTGCGTCTGAGGTCACACTGACCCGTCCTCATGGAGCTCAGGAGCTCTCTGCTCCTCCTTGATCTTCCCCCACTGAATAAAAACCTCCCGTTACCCAAAATATGTAAAGAGTTCTAAGAACTCAACAATAAGAGAACAACCTGATTAAAAATGGGCCGATGCCCTTGACACATCGCCGAAGACGAGGTACAGGTGGTAAATAAAGCATGAGAAGACTCCGCCTCGTATGCCACCAGGGAGGTGCAAGTTACAACCCTGGGATGCCACAACACACCCACTAGAACCCACTGCCTGGTCTGTAAAGAAAGTTTTACTGGAACACAGAGACACCCGTGCTTGAGCACTGTCTATGGCTGCTTCGGGGCTGCAACCGCAGAGCTGACAAGTTGTTTGCGAGCCCCCCGGCCGGCAAAGCCAAACTTGACTACTCTGGGCCCTTCACCCCAACAAGTCTGCCTGCCCCAGTTCCAAGTCATTAAAGAAAAACCACTTTTGTAAAATCAGGATTCCTCAAATGTCCCCTGGCTCCTCTAGTAAGAGATCCTCGTGGGACTGGGGAGCAGGGGCTAACGTGGGTTCTCCGCTGAGTCTTCCTCGTGTGAAGTGAGTGCTTCCTTCATGAAACCAGACCTGCTCGCCACCCGCGGGTCAGATTACGCAGCGCACAGGACACTGCATGCGCCCGGGGGTCTGCAGGGCACTTTGCTCCCCCGTGACTTACATCTCTGATCCCTAGTTTAGATTCTCCTGGGGCTTCTCAGACCAATGCCCCCGAAGCCTGTGCACTGGCGGGGGCATCCCTGGCAGAGGCTCCTCTGCCAAGCATCAGTGTTTTGGGGGCAATCACATGCAGACAAGCAGTGTGCCCATCCGTCTCCGCCGAGCACCCCTAACAAAATCGGATCCCAAATGAGACAGTATAAGTGATGCACCAAAGTGAACACGGTTCTAGGCAGGCAGCACCCAGCGGGGAGAGATCCGCTCAGAACAATCCCACAAAAATATGGGATTTCAAGGTGGGCAGGATTTCTGAGGCAGTAAATTTTCATTATCAAATGACGTGGCTTACTATTTAATTAGAAACTCAGGCAGCTCACGCCCCTTATAGCTCAACCAAGCTATCACTCCAGGAGCGCCTCGTGCAGGGAGGTCCTCAGGCATCGCCTCCGTAGGGTCCTGGGCCACCTGCCCCCTCCTGGTGGCTATGCCAGGACCGTCATGAGAAGGGTGCAGCGGGAGCAGGCACACAGGACTGCTGTCTGCTCCGGCTCTGCACGGCCACGTGAACTGGGTGAGCCATTTCACCTCCAAGCTTCACTCGTCTGCAAAGTTGGGATCCCGGTGCTCTTCACAGAGGCCCAGTGAGTCCCGGCCTGCAGGCCCAGCGCTTGGCTTCTCAGGTCTCCAGGGTGTGTCCTGGTGATGGGCAGCAGGCGGCAGAAGCTGCTGCTGCTGTCAATAGTGACAGTAATGGTGACACCAAAACTCTCCCTTCAATCACCCGGGGGCTTGGGCAATCCCACGCAGCAGGCGCTGGCAGGACACCCTAACAGTGGCCGTGACAGCAGCAAACACACAGGAACTGCAGAGCTGAGCAAACAGGTAAGTGGCTTCCAAGCCTGAAAAGAGCAGAGCGGTCCCTGCGCTAATGGAAGGCGTGTCCCAGGAGCCATGGCGGATCTGCAATTTGAGGCATCTTTCTGGGCATGCGCTGGAGGCTCCCTCAGGAACAGCTTAGGGGGCTTCCTGCCCAGGACCTCACGGCTGGACCTGAGCTTGCCTCTGCTTGCAGAATCCCCCAGGTCACTTCCCTGCAGCCGAGTGTCAGTGACCAGCTAGAACGGCCGCGCTGGCCACGTTTCAGAGTCTTGCAGATGATGTAAAGGGCAGACTCGGGAACTGGTGTGTGAAGATCACGCACAGCAGGTGCAGCCCTGGGAGGCGCCAAGAGCCCCTCAACCAGGGGACCCCGTGCAGCACCTCTGAACTGCGAGAGCACCAGCCCCGGGGAGGCGCCTGCATCAGGCTGACCAGCCTTATCAAGACTCAAGGTCAACAAGCTCGCCCCAGACGCATCCTGCACACCATGGGGGTCAACACCAGGAGTGGCGTTTACACACTTGGGGTCAGAAGTGCCCTGTGTGGACAAAGAACGCTTTCCTACCAGCTGGGCGGACATACAACCGTCCCCTTGCAGATAAGTTTCTGAGCGTGCAAACGTGGGGCTGCATATTCACGCATGCAAGCGTGAACCTGTGCACACCCCAGGTCTGTGCCCGCCCCAGGCAGGGAGCCCCGATCTCCGTGGCCTGGAACTTCCTGCTGCTGGGTCTAGTCTCACCAAGTTCCCGGGAGGCAGGCTCACTCCCGGGTCCACCTTCCCTGCAGGCCAGTCTCGCAGAACGGCCCCGCGGCCTCCTCTCCCCCTTGGAGGCCAGAAACACAACGTAAGAGCCACTCCCGCCCCGGGTGCGTCCTCCCTTGGAATACTGGGGGGACGTCACCTGCGGGAGTGGGACTAACACCGACCCTTTCCTCGCTCAGCCACAGGAGTCACTTCACAGCCACAGTCAAAAAGCTTCTACGCCAAAGCCCCAGATAAGCGGGGTGCCCTGCCCTCACCGTCTGGGGCGTCTGACACTCCCTGCAGGGACGGTCCAGAGTCCGCCTGGGAGGCTGACATCCAGCCATCCCGTCACGCCACGAGACGCCACATTGGACCCGGAGGTGCGTCCATGGGGCACTGGTGGCAACATTTCCAGAATCTTCGGCAGCCAGGGCGAGGAAGCGGCTGGAGGGGGTTCTCTAAATGCCAAGGCGAGGCCATGTCCGCCGGCGTCTCCTCACGCCATCAGGGCTCGCGGCACCAAGGTAGCTCCACGTCTAACGAGGCGGCAGCGTGAAGGCGCCCACGGGCTGTCGTCCGAGGGGCACGCGCCGTTAAAATTAATGACATCATTTACCACTTCTGTGCACATTAGAGTTTTAAAATGTTTTACAGCCATTTTTATTAATTAATAAAGCTTTAATGGACAAAAATTGCACCGTAAAATTATGATGCATATGCGGCCTGTCAATTTTACTATTATTATCTTTAAATATCTCCCCCAGAAGGAAAGTCTCTCATCCATAAATGAGGGCCTCTCACAGAAAGTGAGGCCGGACTCGGGGCCTGCGGCTGGGCCTGTCCCCTCCCGCTCCCGCCCAGGGTCAGGACCCCAGAGTCCACCCGCCTCAGCAGCAACACAGCCGCGCTCAGACAAGTCACCCCAGAAAACAGGCTGCTTGTGTGGAGAGTCCCCAACCTGCCTGGTTTGGAAATGTCTCATAATCACTATACACACACACAGAGCTGCGTGCACACACACCACACCACTCCACACATGACACTCCCACCACCCCCACCCCCACCCCACCCCCACACACCACACACATCACACACGCAACACACACACCACATGCAACACACATCACCCATGCAACACACTGCACACACTACACACACAGCACACACACCACACACCATACACTATATAACACACACCACATACCACACACAACACGTATACCACACACCACATACCACACGCACTGCACACACACCACACGCACTATTTCAAAGCTTGAGGTCGAGGTCTAGACTGACCCGCGATCCTACCAGGCTGAGAAGTATGAAGCAGGCCCGCGGCCGTCCAGATGGGCAGGTGTCCAGCCCAGGGACACAAAACCGGGGAGCAGGGGTGTGTCCTTCTCACCAGTTCTACAGTGAGGGTCTTACTTAAGTTCTCGGGGCTACCGTTTCCCAATCACGTCCTAAGCTGCACGTGGGAAACAAAGCTTTGAGGGGCGGTTTCCCGTCATGTACAAAAGGCGTCTCAGGAACTTCAAGCGCCAAGATGCGGCCCCGAGCTGAGAGGGGCCTTGCGGGAGGCTCGGGAACCGCCACTTACCATCCCCGTGGGGCCTCTGTGCCCTGGGGGCAGGGTCTGCGCTGGGGCCCGCTGCCCAGGGTGGACGGTCACTCACCTTTCCTGTAGCTCCAGCCGGGGATGTGAATGGACAGTTGGTTGGCGCCACCTCTGGAGCGCCAGGGGGCACGGGGACCCGTCCCTCTTCGTAGGGTGACCTGGCTCCTCTCGGCATCTCTGGACTCTGTGTCGTCCAGCAGAGGCGCGGCACTCCGCGGGCAGCTGCCCGGGCCCAGATGCACCTGCCGCAGCGATAGGCCTTCCTTCGAGAGACCTTCTGGCAAACCTGGGCTCCAGCGCCCGCCCCAGGGGTCCTGCTGCCCAGGCCAGGGCTCCTGCTGCCCAGGCCAGGGCTCCTGCCTCGGGGCGCCGCTCCCTGGCGGCGCGTTGGCCGGGCCGCCTGCCCCATCTGGTGTCGGGCTGTGTGAACTGCAGCTGAGGCTGAGCGACAGGACCGACCTGTGCATTTTAGGGCTGGCAGCTTGAGGCTGCTGGGCAGGCGCGGAGAGGGAGCGGTCTAGGTAATAGATGGCGTTGGGGCACTGCTGGGACACCCGCAGGTGGACGCAGGAGCTGAACACCAGCGGGCCCCTGCCCTCCAGCGGGGCGTCGGGAGAAAAGCCGTCCTCCCTGTCCACGTTGGCGACCCAGTACCCGTGCCCGTCACACAGGCGCGCGTGGGCCTCCGGCACCGCCAGCTGCACGCCAGAGCTGCTTCTGGGGAACTCCGTGCATGGAAAAGGCGCACGGTGCCGCCGAGGATCGGAGCCGGTGGCCGGAGCGGAAGGGTCCCTGAGCACAGCGCCCCTGTCCCTGCACTTGGTGCACAGGGGGTCCCCAACAACCTCCCACACCAGGGTGCTGGCGGGGGGGCCCACACGCCTGGCCGTGACCGTGATGGACGAAAAGCCTCTCTGGGGGGTACCGGCGGGTGGCTCCCCTTGGGGCGGCGGTGGCCCCAGCTCCTCCGATGGTGTCTGGACTCTGAACGTGGCGGGCAGGAAGGCGAGAGCCCGGTGGATGGCGACCCCGCTGCGACTAGCCAGGGCTTGCTTCCCGGAGCAGGCCGGGGGCTGCGGGTAGGCGCACGGCACGGGCAGGGAGGCCCCGTTCTCGCTTGACTTGCTCCCATCCATCAGCTGTGAAATGACGATGGATGAAATCATTTTTGTGTTTTGCGAGGCCAGAGTCTCCTGCAAGAGGAAAAAGAGGCAATTATTCCAGCAGCCCTTGGGTGCGTGTGGGCGGGGCCGGCGTCCAGGGCCCGGCCTCTGCCTGCCCGCGCTGCTGTCCTCGTCCACCCGGCGCACCCGAGAGCCCGGGTCTGTCTGTGAAGTGCTCGGGTATCTGGGAGCCTCTGGCTGGCTGGGGAATTGGTTTGCCAATTGGGGTGTCTGTTCCTACTCTGTCTCTTGACGCATCGGGGGGACTGTCAGATTCCACAATCATCTCCCCGGGCCAGGAGCCCCGGAACACGGGTCACAGCCTCAAAGGGCCCAGGACCTGGGGACGCCGGTCTCGGGGAGACGAGTCAGCACGCCTCAGTGGAAACAGCAAGAGTGCCTCGTCCCAGCTCCCCACCCAGCCCCGGCCTTCACTGCTTGGCAACGCGGGGCCAAGCCCTAAGAGCAAGCCCTCAGAACCCAAGCACCCAAGGGGCCACACATCTGAATTTTAAAGTTTTCCAGCGTGATTCAGGCCCCTTGCAGCAGCCAGGTGAACGCAGTGACGCTGGCGTCATGTCCAGCATCAGGGTGGGTGGGGTGGAGGGTCTGGAGTGAGACAGGGGCCGCCTCGCTGTATTTCAATGCTCGCCAAGGGTTTCATGCCTCCTAATCAGCAGACAGACGTGCTAAGAGCCAGACGTGCGTGTCCGGGCAGGGCGTCTGACCCAGTCAACGCCAGGAGAGAGGGTCTCTCATTCCTGGTTTGGTCATGTATTTGGCGTACTGTGGAAAGCGACCCCAGGAGGCCGAGCACACCGGCTCCGGGCAGGCTTGGGGATCCAGAGCCCCCGGTGCATCCATCAGTGCAGGTGCTTAAAATGAGCCCTTGCGTGGAGCTGCGCCGGATCCAGGTCATAAATCCTGCTTCCCGCTCAGTCTGAGGCCTCGGGTCTGCCCTGGGGAGTCCAAGGCTCATTAGATGCTCCGTACGTGGAGCCAATGTTCCGAGCTCCGAGGGCCCGGAATCACCTGAATGTGACAACTGCCTGGGCTCTGGACGCTCTATTCTGTGCATCTGTGGGTGCGTTGGGCACCCTGGGATTCCAGGGAGGAGCTCTGGGGAGCCCACTTCCTGGAATGACAGAGCAGCAGGTGCATCTGGGGAGATGCAAATCATTCTCTTTTGCTAAGATGTTACCAAAAAATCTTCAGAGGCTCTTTTCTGTCCTTTGGATGAACCCATTCCTCATGGTCTCCCTCTCCGCCCAGCGGGCCTCCCGCAGCAGGGCCCCCTCCGCTCAGGGCAGGGACAGGCCCACTTCGCCCGCCTGCTTTCCCTCGGCTTTCATGGCGTCGCTCTCCCCCGCGTGCAGCTGTTTTGAAGATAAAGAGGGAAGTTGCACGTCCTCGGGGCAAGGACAGCTGGAGAAGGACCCGGCAGGACATCGCCTTCAAGTTCATTTCTCAGCATCTCGCTGCCTCTTTCCAGAGGGCCGGCGCAGAGGGACTGAGTCAGGACTGGGGACGCCTGACTCCAAGTCCACCCACACCCTGCTACTTGCTTGAGGGGAACCCCCTGGCAGTGGGCTCTGCTGGTTGAGGGTGAGACCTCCTCCTCAGGGGTTCCCAGCCCAGGCTGCACACTGCAGTCACGGGGAGTTTGTAAAACCCCAAAACTCTGATCTCAGCCTGAAACAATCACATTGGAATCGGGCGGGGATGGGGGGTGGGGCCACGCATCTGAATTTTAAAGTTTCCAGCGTGATCCAGGGGGCAGATAATGCTGAGAACAGCACTTACATGCTGAGGACCTCTTGTTCCTTGCCTCCTCCGTCTCTCTCTGTCTCCCTGTCTCTCTCTCTTCCCCCTACTTGATGTATCACTCCGCCTTTTCTCTGCATCACCTCCCTCCCTCTCTCCCCTCCCCAGGGCCCCCCAGCACCATGCAGGGCTGCAGTTCACATACAGGAGCACTGACGCGCACCTGACGCTCCCCCAGACCCTGGGCTTGGCGCTCAACCCTCCCATTTGGGTTAAATTTAGTTCTGAGAATCACTGTTCCCGAGCACCCTACAGAGCGCACAGTCACGCCAGCAAGCGCCTCGACACTGGTTGTTGAATAAAAAGCATCAATATCCATCTCAGAAGCCGCACATGGGGATTTTTCTGGAGGGCGAGGCCTCCAAGTTGGGGTGCCTGATAACCACCTGCACAGAAATCTCAGGGCCAGGGGGGTGGTCACACTGAAAATGCAGATTTCTAGGTCCCGTGAATCAAATCTATGGGATAAGGCCCAGAGTCTGTATTTCTGAGCAGCTGCCAGATGATTGCTCGGCCCACATGAGGTGCCAGGACACTGGCCTTCGGCCTACCCCTCGGGGTATATCAGACCTGGGGCTCCCGGACGGGCCACAGGACCTGACGTGGCCTTGGTCTCCTGCCTGTAGAGCAGGGAGAAAATAGTGATTCTCATGGTCTTGGGCTTCCTAGCACCCGGGAATCCGACATCTAGGGGCTCCTCCCACCTGAGGTCCTAAGGACTGAATCCTGAGAGCTGGACCGCGGTGCCAGGCTGGTACGGGAGGGCAGGGCTCTGCATGAGTCACACCACCGCAGCCTGCAACAGGACAGGAGGTGCCCTAACTGCCAGGTCCATCTGGCTCCACTGAGACAGGCAGTCACATGCTGGAGGGGCACCCCGGGGGCTGCACGGGTGTCACCATAGGAGATCCTGGGGGTCTAGAGGGTGGGTGAAGACTCAGACCCCCGTCCCCACCTTGGGCAGAGCCCTGAGCCCTCAGCAGCAGCTGCGGGGAGCGCAACAGAGAACAGTGTGGGTTTGGATTCTATCTGAAGCCCCGAAACCGCTCGGTGTGTCAGGGTGACGCTGTCCAACGGGATCCGTGCAGGCGACAGAGCACGAAGGGAAGGCTGTCGCCTGCTATTCCTGCCAGGGAATAGTTTGGAAATCAAAAACCACGACAATCTGAGCATGTTATATAACTCCAAGGTGTGCGCTTCCTGGGACTCCGCCGTGACTACCCGAGAGTCTCACCAGGGAGCAGACGGGCACTGCATCTCGCTGGGTCATACGTCAGTGGAATGTGCAAAGAGTGCATGCGAGTTTCCTTGAACTGCACACATGAGGGGCTGTGAGCATGTGAGCCGTTGAAACGGCGCGGCTGCAGCTGCAGAACGGATGTGCTCGTGTTATTCTAACACAGACTCATGGTCAAACCACTTATTTCTTCACTCTTCAGACTAATAGTCACTGAGCACCTCTCGGTGCCAGGCTCTGCCCTGGGTCGTTGAGTTAGTTAACAGACTGGAGTCACATGGAACCGGGCACCAAATTACCAGGACAGGAATTTTATCAGGTTAAATCCCGGGTTTTGGAGTGTTTAGACTCAGTTTTGATGAAAGCCCCAACCGATAAAAATAAACAGAGAAATTAGTATCTTTGCTCTTCAACATCCATCCTCCTCTTGTAGGGGGCGTCCTAGTCATCAGACCCTATTTTCTCCCTGAGTGTCATGAAGTAATTGAAGATATGCCCCAATCTCTTAAAAATCTGTATTGTTTTCTGAGAATGGCAAAAGCAAAGAACGGTCTGGGTGGCTTAAGCAGTGGAAAGTCTTATTTTCTCATAATCCTGGGGCTGGAAGGCAGATCAAAGTGTTGGCAGGTTGGTCTCCTCTGAGTCTCTGTCCTGCATCTTCACATTTTCTTCTGTGTGTCTGTCCCAACCTTCTCTTGCAAGGCACTGATCAGGCTGGATTAGGGCCACCCAATGCCACACTCAACCTTCACCACCTCTCCAGGGGCCTGCTCTCTGCTCTCCAGGGGGATTCCGTGCTGAGAAACTGGGTGGGTGGCGGGGCATGTGGTAGGACTCCGGCTGTAGAGACCGGGTGGGAGGCCTGGGTTATGGCTCCTGGTCAGGCTCACGACTCAGCCACATCAGACGGCAGGACCTGGCTGGCCTTTGGTCTTCCTTCTGGGGCGGGGAGCCAAGGAGAGGAGACAGAGGATTTGTCTGACGTTCCTAAGTCGCCAACTCTTTTTAAAACGGGACAAATTTCCTTGCAAAAGTAATCACATGTTGTCCATCAAATATCTTCCCCAATTAAGCTATTTCCGGTGTCACTGCACCTGTTCTCCGTGCTGGGCCGACTGAGCAGGGCTTTGAGAAAAGGTATCTTTCATCTCAAATAAAATTAATGAGGTGCAGGTTTGATTTGCAAGGAAGAAAATCATCTTGTATTTAAGCAGAAAGCCGAGGTCAGAGGGAGGGCCAATGAGCGCCAGGCTCGGGGCTGGCTTTGGTGCTAAATCACCCATTTCTAGATCCTCAGCACCCAGCACTCCCATCTGGACATTACTTGCTCATAAATGCTGCTTTTAGATATTGATTTCTTTAAATGTTTCAAGGCTGCTTTTGTAGTGCTGGTAACTGTGTTCATAGCTTTATGCCTTTTATCGACTGGTTTTAACTTCACACTTAGGCCTCGAGGCGCAGGACTAAGAGGCCCGCCATCGCATCACCCGACGTCAGCGGGAGCTGGGTGGCAGGTGGCCCAGGAAATCGGTCTGGGCGGCGAGCGAGGGCGGCTCCGCTCTTCTCCAGGTTCATGTCTCCAAAGTAGAAGCGTCAGACCAGTCTCCGCCTTTGAAGTCCGCATTTTCCCCAGGAGACATTTCTTCCCTTGCCCCTCCCTGCCGTGCAACCTGCAGCTCTTGGTGCAGGGCGAGTCCTGGGCCAAGTCTCCCCACAGGCACCCCCACATCCACACACACTGCCCCCCCCACGCTGCAGGCTCGCTCACGCCCACAAGCGGAGCCGGCGTCGGCGCCCCGGGGAGGTCGGCCTAGAGGCGGGCGTGTCAGCAGGCGCGTGTGCCTCACGCCAGTGGGCGGCAGGGAGACGGCTGGTCTCGGACACGAGGACACACGACTTTCCTCCCTCTCCACCCTGGAACCCCGCCTTTCCGCACGTTTCCTGGAAACCAAAGGGTCCCGCGCAGAGGCACAGATCGCACGGAAAGGTGGGCCGGGATCCCAGCGCTTTTGAGTGTTTGAAAAGTAAATGAGGGTGTGCGCGCCTGCGGCTCCTCCTGCAGAAGTGGAAAAATAAAGATTCCACAGAATTCCAGTGATGAGGGAAGTGGCCTGTGATGGGATGTTTCGTGAGCCAGCGAGCCAGCGAGGCTGCGTGCACGACGGTCAGGTGTGAACTGTGGGCGGGGAAATACAAGCACACAGAAATGCATTCAGATACATAAATAAATAGTTATAATTTCTGTATTTTCCTGCATGTCTACATGGAGTCGCCATGATTTTATCAGAAATTGGACACTTTTTTTTAACGCAGGAGCTCTGTGCCTCTGTCACTCCTCTTGAGTCACGGCTCGGCTGGAGAGGGGCCTGCTGCACCCCCTTTCTACGGCTTGGATGGATTTTGAAAGCAAAAGTGCTCGATCTTGGGCAGGTGCTGGAAGGGAGGGGAGACTTAGGGCCGTTCCCGAGGGAGGGCGCCCGCCTGGGGTGCTGCGCCATCTTACAACCTCTTACCGCACACACGAGGGCGGCCTTCAAAGTCCAGCCTTCCCAGGGAAACTGGAATGTCCCGGGGCTGATAAGTCCCCTGAGATGATCCGCTCGTCCCAGAGCAGGCGGGCAGGAGGTGTGGTTCCGGACGTCCTTAAACTCAGTCACGGACAACAAGTGTATGTGCGTGTGATGGAGACTCAGTCACAGGCCCTAAAGATCTGTATCATGATGACAAAGCCGGTTCCTGTGGACAATCTGCCCGTCCAACGTGAGACGCAGGAGGGAAGCTCTCCAGCTGGCGTCTTTCCTTAGAAGAGCAGCACCTGACCTCAGATTCTCCTGCTCCTGACGGGTGGCCACACCCGGGGGCCGCTCTCCACGAGCCGCTGCTCCTCTGACCACCCCCGACAACCCCCCAATTCCTGCTCTCAGGGAACAAACCCGCCACAGCCACGCACTTTCCCGTCTTGAGACAGCGAGCTCGGTGCTTCCGCGCAGAAAGGACTTCACCTCTTGATGACTAAACCTCAGGACCCAGAATCACCTTCTTTCTCCACCACGTGGGATTTCAGACCTGGGCTTTAGACGTCGCAGAGCTGACTCAAGGCTGACACCCACCACAAGCACTTTTGGGGGAAATTTTTTAGATACTTTGCCACTTTAATCTGTTAGGGAGATGGATTCTTCTACACGCCCCTGCCCCGCCGCCCCGCATTACAAAAGTTGGCTATGGAACATCCACTGTGGAAAACAGCAGAGACCCAGCGGACACTCGGACAAGGCTCCCGGGTGGGGGAGACCCTGTCCTTTTGGTTCTGCTAACCGGAACAAGCCTCAGTCAGCCCCGTGCAGTGAGACAGGCAAGGAGGCGGCCGTGGAGCGGCGCTTGGGGCGGGTGGGCTACTGGGGTTACTCGGCCTTAGTTTTCTCATCTGTAAAATAAGTGTAATGGCGACAGCTACTCCAGGACCTCAGAAGCACCAACCGACGTGCAGTGAGATCAGGAACATTTCATCTCATGAGTTCCACCTCCAATCTCCTTCCCGGCTATAGACCCTGACACTTTGCAAGTTCATAACCTGTACTAGCCTGAGATTTCAAATCCCTCTTTTCTAACAGGCAACATACAGCATCTTTCTCCCCACCGCCTCCCCTAAGATTAATTCTGATTTAAAGTTGAGGTCCGGTCACCCTACTCTCCTACGACTTGCAAATGACAAACTGTGGGTGAAGTTCATGAGAGAGGAACGGAAGCAGCTCACACTTCCCTGCTACCAATCTCAGTCACCGATGGCTGGATTTCCTGCTGCACTCATTAGGTTTTGTTTTTTTTTTTTAAGATTTATTTAATTATGCATACAAGAACTGAGGTGCAGACCGAGGTATGGGAAGTAAAGATTCAGCAGAGACAGAGTGGGGAACAGAACAGGTGGATCTACTGAGAGACACTGCTGAGGGGAGCAGCGGGGAGACAGGAGAGGTCTGCTGCGCCATGTGGATTGCTCCCTGGCCAGGGATCGAACTGAGGCCGCAGTGGCTGTGGATAGCTTGATAACACTGAGGCTTTAACCCCTGCACCACCAGGGAGGCCCCAGCTTTCATTCAGGTTTTGACTGCACCATTCAAAATGCAGACACACCACAAGTAGGTTTGTGATCGTGTCTTATAATTGGCTGCATTTTGCTGAAGACACTAGAAGTTTGAAACGCGTTACCTTGGTGAAGTCAGATTGTTTCTCTGGAACATCGGACTGGAGATTTCTAAGGGCAAATCGGCTGTTTGCGCAGTGTGGAGCGTCCTGTAACCCTAGGCAGGAGGACACAGGATTAGTGATGACAGATAACACGGCTGCGTCACTTCACTATAAAATCCCATGTCACCCGCTCAGGTTGATGCTCCTTGGCAGTGAATCCGCACATACTGGCACCTTGCACTGCCTCCCCCAGCCCCAGCCGAGTCCAGGGCTACTGCGTTCACCAGATGTGCGACCCCTCCCGCGGTTATTCCTGCACCTAGACAGGGCGCCGTCGGCACGGGGCCTCTCACGCTCACACACCCTGAGTTTGCAAGGCGGAAGGCCGGGCCCGGTCGCCTGCTGCCCGAGTCATGAAGGGCCCCCCCAGCCTCCTCGACAGCCTCTGCACGGACATTCTCCCCGAGCTGAGGGCCTCCGCCGAGACGGGGCTTTAGATCTCCACGTGGGGACCAAGGGGGTCTGGGTGAGGAGCGTAAGGCCGACCGAGCCCTGGTGACGGGCGCCACGGGAAGCCGAGGCCATCGTCAGGTCCACGGGCACCCACGGTGGACCCAGGCGGAGGGCCTGGCTCCAGGCCTGGCTCCACCGTCTCCAGGATGAAAGATGCAGATGCCCTTGGACATGCTGGAGGGGTGGCCTCACCCGCCGAGCCCGGGTGGGAGGGAAGAGCACTCGTGGCTCTACGTGCATGGGGTAAGGACGTCCGCCTGCGCCCGAGATGTGCTAGAAGAGCCCGGGCTACCGGCCCTCAGGGCCGAGCATCCTCGTCCCCACAAGACCTGGTCTGGAGACTCTGCAGGGGTGAAAACCATACTCGGGCAGGTGGGGCAGCGGCGCCGTCTGCGGGCCCGTCTCCCGGCCCAGGCCACGGTTCTGTCTCCACCGCACAGTCGGGGTCAGGGGCTTTCAGGAGGCGAAAAGACCGACCCCCAGTGCTGGGGAGAGACGTGCTGATGGGCGGCAGCACACACAGGTGTGGACACACAGCCGCGCACCTGAGGCCTACGCTGTGTCGCCAAGCGACAGTATTTTTAAAAATTTAAATTTAGAGATGAAAAAGGCCGCTCTCTAAAGCAGAGTCTTGATCAGCTCATCAGAAGGGTTGTTTGACTTAATGACTGTTTAATCTCACACTTTCTACGGGGGAATGACAGATGACATATAGGACTTCAAGTCCGCTGGATTTGCAAACGGGCTAGGGTGGCTCAAGGGAGTGTCCAGGGTCACGAGGGACCCCTGCAAAGCTGCCCACGTCTCGTCTCATTCCCGAGTGACGGCAGAGCCCCCGTCAGCTCTAATCCAGGAGTCTAAGGGCCATCACTGGGGGCTACTGACTGAGAGGAGGTGTGAGAGAATCTCCGTGAAGTGTGGATGTGAGGCCTGGAGAGCTCACGGGTTTGTGGGCTGCATCGGAGCATCCTGATGAGCTGATGGTGCAGCTAATAGAGACAGAAATGGCCGTGTCTGCAGCGAGGAGCTCGGGGGAGGTGCTGGCGCAGCCCAGGTCACCTGCAGCGCGAGGTGCTCACCTGCGCTGAGATTCCTTGCCCACAAACTGCTGCCAGGAGCCCCTCCTGCCAAGCCCCCCAGCCTTGCCACCCATGTGCTGAGCACCTTTGGGTGGGGTAGACCCTACTGTGCCTGGTGAACGGCTGCTGCCAGGGTTCATGAGCCCAACCCGCGGTCCTCTCACTGGCCCCTCCCTCGCCTTTCCTCTCATTCCCCCCCCCCCGTCTCTCCCTCTCCCCTCCCGCCGTGTTCATTATCTTGGCAAGTTATGACCACCCCCCATCACTCGAGACAAGCTGAGGTGTCTCCCTCTGCGCCCCTCCCCTGCCCTCACCTCTGATGTCCAGCTGAAAGCAAGGCCAGTTTCATCTGGTGAGAAAGGCTGTGCCCCCTCCAGTCTCCCCAGTACCGCCTGTCCCCACAGCAAGGTCACAATCAAGCTGGTGACCCCCTAGCTTGTCTCCTGCCAGTTTCCCCAAATCCCCTCGGCCTCCAGTCTGTGGCCTTGTGGGATCACACGCTCCTTTAAAAACTCCAAGGAGGGCCTCCCTGGTGGGGCAGGCGGTTGAGCGCCGCGCTATGAAGCTGCCCGCAGCCTCTGCAGCGCCGGTTTGATCCCGGCCAGCCAGGGAGAATCCCACATGGCGCAGCAGACATCGCCTGTCGCGCCTGCTGCTCCCCTCAGCAGTGTATTACATCAGTCTGCCTGTTCTGTTCCCCGCTCTGTCTCTGGTGAATCCTCTCACCCTCCCACACCTCTGGCCTGTACCCTGGTTCGGTTCTTGTATAAATAAAAATAAATAAATCTTTAAAAAAATAATAAAGTGTTACAGTTTCACATTTTAAAAAATAAATAAAAACTCTAAGGAAACAGATACATTCCCCACCCAGTGCGGGATCTGGGGCTTCTGAACACACGTCTACACCCCCAGGGGCTCAGGGACATGGAGATGGAAATCCGTATAACACAGCAGCTCCCAGCCCAGCAGCTACCATCTTTCACCTGATGCCATGGCCCATGTGGCCCCGGGCTAACTCTTCATCCTCTGCCAGCTCAACTCCCCCAGCACTGCCCTACCCAGGAAGCCCACCAACCTGTACCCTTTTCTGGGGCCATGCAGACGCCATCACCAAGCTGGCTCACAGCAGTGCAGGCCAGACATCCAAAGGTGTGGGCCTGCTCTCCGCTTCTCCTGGGGAGAATTCCCTCGCCTCGCCCCAGCTTCTGGAGGATGCCGGCGCTTCTGAGTGATCCTTGGCTATGGGGACCTCACCCTGACTTCTGACCTTGCCATCTTCATGTGGCCAACTCTCCCATGTCCCCACGTCTCCATGCCTCTCTCCGTATGAGGTTGCCACTCACCGGATTTCAGGCCTCATCTTGATCGCATCTGCCATTTGATCTCCAAATGAGGTCACTGTCCCAGGGATGGGGTTAGGACTTGAGCAAGTCTTTGGGGAGGAAAATTCAAATTCTCTATGGTGCCCCTCCCGGCTGTCCTAGTCCCACATCCTCACTGTCAGCACACCCTCAGTACATTGCTCTGTCATGATCCGCTTGGGGTCTGCCTCCCACTGTTGACCCAGGCCTTCTCACTCTGCTTCTCCCCGTGAGTCTAGCATAGTGCCTGGCCATGAAGACGCACTGAATGAGCAAATTGTTTCCTTGTTTGATAGAGTCACCTCGGTGGGAGAAGATCAGAACGTACCTTGCTCAAACTGCTTGATCATATTCCACTGACATTTCAAAGACATTTTCCTCCATTTCAAAGGCCTGCTAATGACAAGATGTGCTTGGCCTGCTCACATCTGTAACTGCTTTCGGGATGAGACAGGGTCCGCCCGTCCTGGGCTGAAGAACCGCAGGTTCTACCTAGGAGGACGTCACCAGAGTGGTGTCCTGGCAACCAGGCGGGGGCAGGGCGCCCACCTCCACCCACCTCCTCACTGAGCCCGGATGGCCCATAGCTATGTTTCTACCCGAGGCTTCTTCGACAGGTAAGATCAGGTTGCACAACCATTCAGCTTTCTGCGAGCCCCATTAGATGTGAGGTGGGGGCGTCCCTGCCCGCTGCCGCGGTCAGCGCACATTTCTCCTCCCCCCAACTTCTCAGACTTTATCTCCCTCCTGCTTTGGAGGATGCTGCTGATGCTGTTGCCAAGCAGCATTTTTACTGTTCAACAGTTTCCCGAGTAGTAAAATACATCCAGGTAACATCACCAAGTTAATTGGTTGAATCTACTTGTAATAAATAATTGCTACCCATTTCTGCAAACCAGTCCATCTAGAACACGGCCCCCGCCGGTCGTTTGTCAAGCACGTCTCATGGGAATGGCCGGTTTCACACAATTTAATAAAACACCTTTGACATGAAATGATAATGAACAAAGTTTTAAAATTTATGCCCAACTAAATTAGAGCATAAATTAACATTATAAGATCACAAGGATGACGAACAACACAGGTTTAAAAAGCGGTAAGACTGTGGCAAAGGAAGCAAGTCATGGCCTGGAGAAATCACGGAACCAAAAGCTGGGGTTAAAGGTGGCACCGGCACAGATGCCCACAGCCTCCAGCAAGGGCAAGAGTCAAGGTCAAGGTGGGGTGGAGGGAAGGGGTAGGGGACAAAGGCATAATGTCAGGCTTTCAAAAGAGGCTGGCCTCCTCCCTGGGGCGAGGGCACCGGGGGTGCTGGTCATCACGTGGCCCATGTGGTCACTTACTGTGAATTTCACTGGCTGACCCAGGTGCTTTGAGTCGGTCTGTGACACTGATGACATCATAATGGGGAGATTTATGGGGATGGAGGGTGGAGACAACTGTCCCCTCCTCTCTAAGTGGTCTTTGGAGGAGGCCTCCCCTGCTCGCCCCCTTATGGGTGAGGACGCTGGCCGCCCTGAAGCACCCCGCGAGGCCACCGTCCAGCCGCGAGCTGAGCTAATAGTAATGACCCACATGCAGAGCCAGGAACAGGCAGACCCGGGGCCTGACAGCATCTCTCCTCGAGCTCAGAAAGCTGCCGGGGCGGCCTGGGGTAGACGCTGGCCTGACGGGAGCCTCCACCCTCTGTTGGCTCCTCGGGAAGCTCGGCTGAAGCGGGTCTTGAGGGCCAGGAACTATGAAGTGAATGTAGGTATTTTACGGCTCCCCACAGTGCCTGGAGCACAGGGATGCTGGTGAGGAAATGCGTCCTCAAGACAAACGCTGATCTCTCGGGAAGCTGGGCCTGCGCGCCTGCTCGGGTGGTCTGGAGCCTGCCACTGCGCGTGCAGCCGTGTGGGTCTAGCTGATGTCTGGGTGCCCTCGGGAGTTGTGTGGGGCTCCCCGGGTCTGCCTTGATATGGCTGGGGTGAGGTCTGCCCGCTGTGCGGGGACTGAGTGCCCCACTCACACTACCCAGCTTGCTGGAGGGGCAGCAGGATGGAGTCCTGGCTCTTAATTCAGGCCTGGATACCAACCCAGCCACCAGGAAGAAAAACAGGGGCCCCTGAAAGCCCCGCAGGGGAAGCAGGAGCCGCAGCCGCAGAACCCCACCCAGGGGACCAGCGGGACGTGTCCGCTCAGCTCCATGACGTGAACAAGCCACAGACATATCTCCATGAGATGCCAGCCCGGGGTCCTCGCCGGAGCAGCGGCCATGGCTCTCGCCAGGGAGGGGCGGGTGTGAGCGAGTCTGTGCTACTGCTACTTTCTCGTCTGTTCTGTGGAAGTAGCTGGAGCCCGCCTGGAGCCCGGAACAGGAGCACGCAGGGTCCACCACGGCTGCACAAGCCAGGTCAGCGCTGGCTGCAGGCCCCGCTCGTTGGTCTCACTGTAAGGACCATCAGCGCCCACAGCACAAGCGCATCACAGTCGGGGGGTGCCGCCGGGGGCCGCATCCAGGAGCGGCAGCACCCCCGGGGAGAGGCTCTCATCCACACGCAGCGCCACAGGACTGCATCTCTCCCTGCAAACCGCATGGCCCTTCCAGAACTCAGCAGCAGCGCCTCAGCTGGGCCAGACTGTCCCAACGAGGTTGCCGGTCGCCCCCTGGTGAACTTCAGTTCTCAGTTGTTTGTCTTTCCAGTTTACTTGTTTAATGCAGCAAAGCCCCTGGCCTCTGTGCCCTCTGTAGTAACAGCCCCAAAACTTGGGCAAGAACCACAGTCACTGCCCCCTTCAATGTGTAGGCCCAGGAGAAGCGAGGGCGGCCCGGCCCTCTGCTCGTGCGCACACCACCTTTCAACAGAAGGAAACCAGCCAGGAGGCCAGGGCTGGCCCGTGAGCTCCGGCCAGGAAGAGGCCGGGGCTGGCAGGCTCGGTCAAGTCTAACAAAGACCCCGGCTCCCTGGCGTTCAGGCCAACGACACCCGTCCAGCTGGGCCACGCTGCTCTCTCTGCAGCTTCCTGAGAAATAATTTGCATACCATGAAGCTCACTTTGAAGTGCAGTGCTCAAGATTATAGTCACAAATTGTGCAGCCATCACCACTATTCCAGAAAATTTTTATCATCTCCCAAAGAAGCCCTATGCACATTACCCTCCATCACCCCCTGCCCAGTCCCTGGGCACCACAAATACACTTTTTCTGGATTTGCCTACTTTGGACATTTCACATGAATGGAAGCACAGACTCTGGATTCTGTTCTGGCTGCTTCTGCTGAGCGTCCTGCTTTCAGGTACATTCACGGGGTAGCGGGTGTCAAGGTGTCATCCCCTTCGGTGGCTGGGTCACACTCCGTTGTCCGGGGGTGGGGAGGGCGGCTGACTGTCCATCTGCATGCGCTGACGGACATCTGGTTGCGTCCATGCTTTGCCCGTTATAAATAATGCTGCATGAACATTTGCGGACAATTTGTGTGTGTGGATATGGCTTTTCTTTCTCCTGGGTACAGACTTAGAAGTAGAGCTGCCGGCTCGTACAGAATTCCATGTTTAACTTTTTGAGGCAATATCACACTGTCTCCCAAAGTGCCTGCACCATTTGGCATCCCACCAGCCATGTCTAATGTCCCCTTTCAGCCCCGCTCCGCCAGCCATTCTCATGGGTCTGAAGAGGCGGCTCATTGTGGTTTTGATTTGCATTCTCCTTGAGCCTGAAATGTTCTCCATTTTTTCAGATGTTTATTGGCTATTTGAATATCTTCTTGGAAAAATATCTCTTTAGCAAAATATCTCCTCAGCAAAAATATCTTCACTCATTTTTGAACTGGGTTACTTGTCTTCTTGCAGCAGCTCTCTCGGGAAAAGATGCTAAAGGGCGCCTCCTGCGTCCCTCCCCTAAGTGAAAGGAACAAGATTCTCAAGCTCCCCTACTGTGGGGTCTCACAGCTGGGTACCTTCAACAAGAGCAGCATGTCCGCCTGGAGACTAAGAGAACGTTTTTTTGGCAGCCCCAGGACATGGCTCAAATCTAGCTTGGCCACCTATAAAGTTTGGAACTCAACTCACTCGCTTCTCTGGGCTTCCATTTCCCCAGCTGCAAAACAGGGGCCACAATATCTGTTTCACTGCATTGTTGCGAGAAAAGACACTCTGAACACGCTTGGTGTGTGGCCCCGCATATAGGAAGAGCCCCGTAAAATTTATTTATTTATCCAACCGAGATTTCCAGAGCACCAGTCACGAACCAGGCACTAGTCTCGACCTTGTAGTGACAGCAGCGCATAAGAGGCAGAAAATCCCTGCCCTTGTGGGGCTTCTCCAGCTGACCTTTCCAGCTACAGTTAATGATGCTGGTTATTATAATTCAAGATCTTTACTCTTGATTGCAAAATAAGTACCAGCTCATCAGAAACTAGAGTGACAAGATAAGAAGTTTCACTAATGAACTTGGCCTGGCCTTTCCCCCCCCCCCCCCCGTCTTCACAGGGGACACCCGAGAGCCAGGCGGGGCAGCGGGTCCGCAGGTCTGCGCAGGGAGCCAAGGTCCTCACGGCCAAGCATCCGGTGGCCAGGGGGCTGGTCCACACCCCCCCTCTGGGGCTGGTGGTGGGAGAGGGCGTGAGAAGCCTAACGACTCGGATCATGAAAAACAGCGTAAGGAAGGAAGTGGGCACGGTGCTCGGGAAGAAAGGCAAGGAGAGCCACTGGGCTGCTGGACAAGCTGTCCAGTGGGGCTGGTGGGGCTGGACATGGAGTTGAGTGGAGAGTAAAGCTGCTGGTTTCCAGAGCTTTCCACGAACCAGGAGCAGAACCCACTGGAGCAAATGAGGCCTCGGCATCACGGAAATGCTGCCACGCAGAGGTCAGCGATGCTGCTGGAAACACACTAGCCTGCCTGCGCCAGGGGTCAGCCCCAACACGGATCCCCTGGAACAGGGCGAGTCCCCCGCCTTCTCCTCAGCAGGTTAGACCTGTGAGGCTCCTGAAAGGACATGCCTCGATGCGGGCTCTAGCACACCCTAGTCATTAAGCCCCCGCTCTGTGGGGTGCCAGGAGCCAGTCCCTCTTGGGGAGGGGGGTTAAACAGAGTGAGACATAGTGTGGCGGACACAGTGTGGAGAAAAACAGACACACAGGGCAGGGATGTGCCCCTATCATGCCAAAATTTACATTAAAGGTGTGGGAAAAAGACCGTGCGTTGCCATAGGAATAAAGAGACAAATGGAAAAGAACAAGAAGGCCAGAGAGAGACTCTCAGAGGTGGAATCGTGAAGATCAGCGAGGCAGGGTGGCGCTGTCGCATGCATGCTCGGGGATCACTGCTCTGCGTGACGAAAGCAAGATGTCATCGGCGATTAGCCACGGTGCTTGGACAGCTGGTATAATTTTAAAAATCAAAATGAGTTTCCATGATTTTACCATAGCCACAAACTAAGTCCGGGTCATCTAAAAGCTGAACAGTGAAAAGTGAAGCTTTAAAACTGTTCAGAGATAAAAACAGCTAATATCTTTATGATCTCGGCTAGGAAAGGATGTCTTATTAGGCTAGTTGTCTGGCAACCACCCCCACATCCCTGATATTGGGCTCCCTGGTCTTATATTACTTGGAATGAAGACAGACTTGACCTCTCAAATGTCCCAGCAGGGGCCTGGGCTACGTGTGGCTTCTTCCTCCGCTTCCAACACATTCTCCACTCCTCCAGCCTGACCTACGGCTGGGCTCGGAGGCCCCATCCCCGTGGCTGGCATTACAGCTGCTTCTCTGAACCCCAGAAAAGAGGGCCACCTCACGTCCCCTGAGCTCTGACATGGAGCCTTTACTGGGCTTGCTCAGAGTGGGGACATCCACCAAACTGGGTCAGGAATCTCATACAGAGTGAGCATAAAACAAATCTATTTTTAGAAGCCAAAAAGCTTGCTGCCCCACTGCTGCATCTCCATGGGGATAACCCCAATGTCCCCACTGTCTGCTGGGGCGCTTAGGGGAGAAAGCAGTGAGGAATGAATGAACTTGGACATGGGGGGACTCACACCAAGTTTTGATTTGTGCGACGTGAACCTCTCTGACCGTCGGTGAAGTTGTCACCAGGCCAGAAGCTCAGCCTCTGTCCTCCTTCACCCCGGCGGGGAAAACCCAGCCTCCCGGCCGCGGCAGACCCCATCAGGACCAAACTAGGAAGAGAAAGGGCGCGCATGCAGCTCCTGGAAACCCAGTTTCTCTGAATTCCTGCCCACACAGACCCTCCCCTGCCTCAGACCATCCCCATACAAGTCCCTGCTTCTCCCCAATTTGGGGAAAAGGCTTTGATAGGAACCCCGGTCCCCGTTCCCTGGCCCGCGGCTCTACTGCTGGAGCATTTGTTTCAAATCTCTTTCCAGGCCTGTCCACGTGCTGGATGGGTCAGCGGATTCAACGGGTCAGTAGCAAATGAACAGACATCACCCACTCTGTGCTCCCGCCTCCGGTCACTGACTCCAGGGGTCCCCGCGGGGAGGGTGCGCGGTTCACCCCAGGCGGGGCTGAGCGCACGGCCGTCCCAGGTGGTGATTCTCCCGCATGAGGCTCTGCTGCCCTTGGTCTGTCCTGGCTCTCTGCGCGGGAGAAGCAAGGCCATTTGTGGGCGACAGAGACTCCCCTCCCCTCTGCCCCTCCAGGCCTCCCCCTGAACGCCCCATCAGGGCCCCACGTGAACACAGCAGCCAGCAGCCCCTCCCCCACCGGGGCTGGAGGCCTCTTCTGGGGAACAGGCTGCCCCACCGAGCCCATGAGTGGGTGGCAGGGGGCACAGAATCTTGATTCCGACCTTTTTCTAGAAACTGGCATGGAGCAGACGCACAGCCACTAAAGGGCTTCAGGTTGCCAGGAGGACAGGCCAGCCAGAGAGGGGCGCCAGGCGTCCATTTCGTGTTGGGGTGTGGGGAGGGGCCTCTGCGGGTGGCTGGGCTAGAATCAGGGGCACTGACGTCAAGAACCAGGGCCTCAGTCTAGGGCAAGCCACCCCCTGCTGGGCACAGACTGCCCCCCTCTGCATATGGGACTGAGCTGACCTGGAACCTGGGCTGGCAGGTGGTGTGGGACAGGCAGAGCCGGGTGAACAGGCCAAGACCTGCTGCTGCCCTCGGTGGTCAGCCATGGTCTGGGTCTGTCCAGGACTTCAGGAGAGAGGGTGGTAGGACTGAAACCCAGCTAGCAGGCTCCAAGTCCAGGCCTCCCCCCACAGGTGCCGGGATCTCAAGGAAAGAGCGTTTGAACCCCGGGCCTGTGGAGGCCACTCTGGTGCCGCTGCAAACAGACTTGCCCCGCCACTTCCAGGGGCTTCTCTGCGCCTGAGAAAACTGTCCTCAGAGCAGCCCCAGAGATCCTGCAATGGAAGACCAGTCCCGCTGGGGAGGCAGCGGGGCGTCCTTGATCCCCCAAAACACTAAGTCTTCAAGGACTGCGTCTGGCGAGTCAACATTCCCCAGGTCCCAGGAGCTGGAGCAGGAAGGCCTCGGATTAAACAAACACACAGACTTAAAATAAAGAGGGAGGTGAGAGGGCTCGGTGCTTATAGTCTCTCCCAGCAAAGATAACGGGTAATTGCTTCTTTATCACTAGCCCTGGAAATTTGAAAATAAAGAAGGAGCAAGGCTTGATATCACACCTCGACTTTGCTGCCGATAGATCCTTAACTGGCACTTGTGTGTGGACCAGCTGCCCGAGAGCAGCCGCCCGCGGACCGGCCGCCTGAGGACCAGCCACCCTGGGACCAGCCGCCCCAGGACCAGCCACCCTGGGACCAGCCGCCCATCGCTGACGCTCATGAACTTCACTGGGGAAGTGGGTCTGGGGTGATGAAAGGGAGGCGCTCAGTCCTGCGCAGCAGGAGGCCTCATGCTAGATTTGTTAGCTGATTATACACACCCCCCACCTCCCACGAAGGTTCTAAATTGCCTGCTGTTCTCTAAGGGCAGCTTCTACCACAGAAGAGCAGAAGAGCAGCGTAGCCGAAGCCGGGGCAGTGAGCTGGCCCTGAGGACGGGAAGGCTGTTGTCTAACAGCCCCCAAAACCCCTGGGGCTGCCTGACTCTTGTGACACGGGGAGCATCTGTAATAGACATGGCTGTGACCTGGGGCGGGCCCCAGCAAGGCACCCCACAGGGTGTGGCACTTCCTCGGGCAAGGCAGCAGAGTAGCAGGGAGCAGAGTGCCCTTAGGGGAGACCGCAGCTCTCCCAGCTCAGATAAAGGTCCTTGGACTCCTCTCTGATTCCTCCCCAGTCCCCAAGTTCCCCCGCACCTGCACGGGAACCTGCTCTTCCTGCCTAAGAACTCTCTGGCTGCTCCAGACGGGCTCCAGGCTGGTGGAGAAACCTCTTTCCCTCTGGAGGTAACTCTCCTGGTTTCAATACACGGTGGAAAGTTTTGCAATTGGTAATAGTCACTGACTGTTGTCAGCAGCTGCACTGTGTCCCCCCAAATCCATGTTTTGAAACCTATTGTTAAGCCACCTGGTGTGTGGTTTTGAGTCTAGGAGAGAGCACTAGCATTCCTGTGTGCGAGGGGTACCCTTTCTCTTTGACCCCCCGCAGCACCCCATGTACAATTACAACATTTAACACGCAAGGAGACAGGGGCTTAGACAGTGAGGTGACCTGTCCCACATCCCACAGCCCCTGACGGACAGGGCCAGCACTCAAGTTCAAGCAGGGGTGCTGGGAAGCCCACTCTTCTCTGCCCCCACTGACTGTCCTCTCTCTGCTCGTTCTCCAGGTGGCTTCCCCTGGAGAGCTCTCCTCACGCTCCCCCACAGTGAGGGTTTCCTCCAAAAGTAACCAACAGCAAAGCTCACTGCTAACCAGGCCAGGGAGACCCGGGAGGCGAAGGCCTATGAAATATTTAACAACGGGGGCATGCCCAGTGCCAGCTGAGCGGAAGCCAGCATCAGCGCTCAGCTGACGAGGGGAGTGAGATTTCTGCTGTAGAAAGCTGAGCCTGGAGCACAATTAGCTCTGAGGTTTATTAGAGCTCCGTGTCTCCAGAGCCACCAGGAGAAAGAGCTTGGGGGGTGGCCCCCGAGGCCCCAGAGCTAGGCCAGGAGGGGTCTTTGCACGTGGGGCAGGCCACTTGGGAAGTGCTAAAGTGATCACAGGCAGGTCAGGCGAGTTTATACCACAGACAAGGTCGCTGCGTTTGAAAACTAAACACACAGCAGGATTGGGGAGGGCCCCTGGCTGCTCAGGGAGTCGAGCTCCACAGGGCAGGACAGAGGGGAGATTGCATCAAGGAAGCCACCTCCACCTATTGCATTATTCAGCCGGTGAGATCAAATAAATAAATGCATTTTGATGAACTTTCTGTTCACACAGACCTTCAGCAAAACTGCAGTAGAAGTGAATTCATTCCATAAATAGAGCGTAAATGAAATGATCAAATATTAAAATCAATTGAAAAATTTAATGAAGCAAAAGAAATAGAATGCTCACTGTGTGGATTTTATAAAGCAGGCAAAATTTCGAAGGCCGGTATACTTGGGAAAGCTTATAAATTCAATTTTTCCAGCATGTACTGATTCCACAGGACTTTTTGAAATTTCATGTAAGTGAGGAGACATCAGGTGCTGGAGGAAGTGCCAGATAACAAAGCTTTAGAAGCTGACCCGAGGAGGCGTCCTGGTGGACACGGGGGCCCTCCCCACAGAGAGATAAAGAAGGGAGGGCCCTGAAGTTGGAGCTGAAGAGAGAAAACACTGATCGGTTCCGATAACACGGCCCCTTACAGGTAAACCCAAGGGTTCAAGCCAAAAATGATGAGAGCAGCTGCGGAATTTAACTAGTCACAAGCAACCTCCCCGAATCACTAACTTTCATCAAGAGCAACAATAATCAATTAGAAACACCAGGAGAAAAAGTAGCGATGGCAAGAAAATGATAATATATCCAGAAACACCTCTAACACGAATCAGGCTGGACCTATGTCAAAAAATAAATAAAGTTATCCTAGAGGAAATCAAAGAGCTGAGTGAATGAAGAGGCATGACAGGTTCTGGATGAAAAAGTCAGGATTGTAAAGTCAGTTCTGCCCAAATTAATTTATATATTCTATGTGGAATAAAAAACCAACAATAGAGAAAATAATAACAACAACTTGACAATCTGCTTCATAACCGTGCGTGGAAGAGAGAATGCCAGAATACCCAAGACAATTTTGACAATATACATTAAGAATGGGCTTATTAATGTGTTTCTTACCAAGATTTACTCTAAAATTGTATTAATTAAAGCATTGTAGTCTTTGCAAAGGAGACCATGACTAAACCAGTGGATTAAACAAGACACCCTGCACATTCCAGAATTGGTTTTCTGAATGAGACACTATAAATCAAAGGGAACAGGAGGCCATATAAGAGTGATAATCTATTTGAGGGTAAAAGAATGGTATGGTCCATATTTAAGGCTATACACAAAGTGCAATTTCAAATGGGTGAAAAGTATGATCACAGTAAAATAAAAAAGAAATTATTGTTTATAATATTAGAAGTCTTAAGGAAGACAAATTGTTCTGTGCCATAAAAGATTAACAACCGAGGGCCTCTTTGTTATAGGGGTTAAAGTCTCAGTGCTATGAAGCCACTGAGGCCTGAGTTCGATCCCCAGCCAGGGAGCTACCCACATAATGCAGCAGACCTCTCCTGTCTCACCTGCTGCTCTCCTCAGCAGTGTATTTCAGTAGATCCACCTGTTCTCCTCCCCACTCTGTCTCTGGTGAATTCTCTTACCCTCTGCACCTTGGCCTATCCCCAGTTCCTATAGCTGAGTGAGATACACTGCCTAGGGGAGCAGCGGGGAGACAGGAGAGGTCTGCTGCGCCATGTGAGTCAGCTTCCTGGCCAGGGATCGAACTCGTGCTGCAGTGGCTGGTGATAGCTTCACAGTGCTGAGACTTAACCCCATGTGCCACCAGGGAAGCCCCAGTGCTGCTTTATTTTCTTTTAAAAAATCAAATAAAATAAAAATCAAGCAAATGATTGATTTTGGTTTTATTGAGAGCCTCATAGAAGAAACTGAAGAACCAATTGGTGTCTAATTGCCCTTGAATATCCTTTAAATCACCCATAAATGACATATATGTGACTAGTGTAAACAACTCTGTACAGCAATAAAAATGTAAAAATGTATAATTTACACAATAAGGCGTCACATATAATTCCATAAACTGGCTGTAACAAAAGTCCAGTCGCTCACGGCCACGTTGCTTAGAGACACTTCAGCGATTTGCAAAGACCCAGACAGGCCCGCTCTGCCTGTGGATGGAAACTCCCGGGTCCCTGTACTTTGCTGCTTTCACCTGAAAAATGGGGCCGCTCCACACCCCACCCAAAAGGCCACCATGAAGTCGTGTGAGTTAGTCGGGTCAGGTGGCAAGTCCTGCATCTGGCACTTCTCACACCCGCAGTGAATGTGGGACACCCTCAGGCGCCTGGGAGGGAAGGGGGTGACTCACAGACATGCCCTGCAGGTGATGCGGCGCTGGCAGCTGTGGGCACAGGCGCGCAGAGCAAGGTGAGCCCGCAGGCAGGCTGACCACCCCAGGGGTCCCCATCACCTCTTGGCCACGACCTGTGTCCGGTGGTTGAGCCTGAGGCTCACGTGCCTTTCCTGGAAAGGGCACCCGCTTCATGCCCCCACGCTCGTGCCCTCTACCACCAGCACAAGTGCCTAAGGACTCCTGTGTTCATTCTCTGGAAAATAAACTATTGGAAGGAAAAATCAATTTTCATTAGCAGCACCATTACTTTCAAGAAAGGTCTCAAGTGAAGACGGCAGTGGGTTCTCCAAAGCTGGTGTCAACCTGACCGTCCCCGAGCACTGAGCCCCACGGGCTGGAGCTTCCAGACCCCACTCTCCCCAGACAATGCCAGGGTGACCACATGGAGCAGGAGCTGCTGCGTGGGGCTGCAAACCCGGGAGGTGTCCACCGGTGGGTGCCTCTCGGCTGGTGGACACACAGGGCTGTGCGGACAGACCTGCCCATCTTTTAAGACTCTGCCTGACCTTCACTGAAACCTCCCAGGGTCTGAGTATGGCCCATTAAGTCGATGTCAACCACAGAAGCCACACTGCGGGGCCAGCCACGTACTCCTATGGGATGAACCTCCCCCGGGGTCTCAGCGGTGACTCTGGACACGCACTTGTCCTTCAGGTTTGAAGCTGTGCCTCGGAAGTGCTCGTACGGACACCCTAGAACAATCCACCGTGCTCCCCAGGGCCAGCAAAGCCCAACCTTGGATGTGAGCTCCTGGTGTGCCGCCCACCCTCAGCCTCCGGGATCAGGACCCTCTGCTGGGGCTTCACCACGCAAGACAACACCCATGACTGCCAAGATTTTCCCTCGGTCTCATTCCACCAAACCACAAGCCTCCACCCACACTGAGGGGCAGGCAGTGAGTTTGTTTTCCACTTAAAGAGCCAACAGAATTCATGACCTTTGGCAGCGTCTCCCCTTGTCAGTGGGGCTCTTAGGAAGATTATTTTGGATGAATATAAAGGAGAAGGATGGAATCGGGGGGCAGACACTCCTCAGCCACCAGGCAACGCTAGAGCAGAATTGATTTTTCCTAAGTGAGGGGAGTGAATGACGTCAGGTGTACGAGCGGGGAGTTACTCTGAAACCCGTCCTTCCCGGTGGGGGGGCCCTGCCTGGCCCTATCGACTCCCCACATGAAGCACCCAAGGGGTGAGGGCCTATGATCATCTGGTGATTGTTAGTATCTCTCCCACCTTCTTGATCAGTGCTGATGTTAGGGGGAAAGTCTGTCCTGAGCAAGCTCCATACGGGCTTTGTGGACGCCACCCCCACTCCATCAAGACACTGGCAACTACCAATCCCAGGATCCCCAAAGGGAAGGTTGGGAGGACCTGAGGGCAGAGTTAAGCAACTAGGCTCTGGGTTTGGGTATTTAACTGGCCAATCTCGCCAGGGGCTCGGTGGGTCATTGGGATTCCAGGTCAGCGGCCCGGGTAGGACGCATTCATGAACTTATCTCCC